CAATTTCTGTAACTTACCAGTCAATCACTTACCGTACAGCCTGATATCGATGATCAGTAACAGTTATCGCCTGATGATTTCGAACAAGCAATCGTCATTTGGTGTGCGAAGATTATTACTAATTAATGTTCCTACTTTTATTTATGATACCAGTGCAATTAACAATTATCTTATTACATTTATACTGGCAGTTACTAATTGTCACTGTTTCTAGTATCCTAAGCAGAACATTAGGGGTCTAGCTTATCGACCAGCAACCTTGCTTCGGGTTGACTGTAACAGATGAAGGTATCTTAATTTGAATATTGTACAATCAATAAATGTTTGTATTAAAATATTGCACTATTTTTGTTAGTCGTTTTTCCATAATTTTTTTATAATTATATTCATTATATTATTTTCATAAAATCTTCATCTTTGAATTTAAAATTTAATGATAAAAATCTAATAATTTCACTTGTTAATTTATATAAAAGTTAATTATCTCGGGGACTAATTATATATATAATCAGAAATTATACAATACAACAGAATAAACACAATAAAATCATGTAACATACTATAATCTGTGTCTTTATGTTAAAAAAAATATACTAAAAAAAAAGCCGAAGAATAATTGAAAATGCGCAATAATTAAATATTTTTTAACAGAAGATGTGTTGTCAGGAAATGTGTGTGATGAAAAAATTATGAAAAATGATATATTAATTCATATAAAAATAATATATTATGTCATATTAGACAAGGTTCTAGAAAATAAAGAATGACAAAGATTGACAGAATCTTCTTCTAATAATGTATATATACACATAATCTGTACAAAACCTTATAATACAACATATAGCTCCTCTCGCTTCCCAACTGATTACTTATTCATTTTCCAGAAGAAACGACTAATAGTACGAATCACTTGCTTTCAAAGTAGCGTAAATTAAATTTTATAAATCTTGCTAAAATTAATATATAAATATTACTGTATATCGCATCAATATTCATAAGATATTATTAAATAACTCACACTACGTTGAAAACAAATGACTTATAAATACAATATTGCACATGTATCTATTACATCGGTCATAAATATCTTAATAAAGTATCTACAACAATACTATAAAAGAGTTGAAAGATATAACCGCTCAAAAGTATTTGTTCATTCTGTCTTCTTTTTTATTAAATAAAGGAGAGCAAATTTCAATTTTTCTTTTAATTTTCTAGATTAGACTCTTTCAATAATAGATTTGTTCGCGGTGCTTGAAATCGCTAAAGTTTTTGCACTTAAAACGAGATAAATATATATTCGGATATTGAAAAGAAAGAAAGCGAAGATGCTGAGTACAAAAGTGCACACAACGCGAACAGACCTAATAATACTTGGCGATTCACAATTTTGCATTCTATAGATACATATAAAGAGAATATAATAGAATTAAAATGGAATATATAAAAAAAGCGTTTAAAAAATGACACAAAATGGGCAAATACTTGAAATGGGCAAATACTTTTGCGCGATAGTGCATACATGTACGATTAAACTCTGCACGCATTAAATATCACATTACGTACAGCTGTCTGTCTTTTTGCAAAAGGACTAGCTTTTTTTTTGCATCGACGGAACCGTCAACGAACTATAATTATCTAACGTATGTACAATTCCTGTATAGTATTGCACAGATGCAGCTGTCTTGTACGCTTATGTGCGTGCTGGTATAACAACTTATGTTTTATAATGTGTATTTTACAATGTATTCTCCAGTCAAGGAATTATATCTCTATTTCATTGTGTTTTTTGTATCCTCTCACGCACATATAAAATATGTAAAATACAAAACGCCAATGGCAAATATTTTTCTAAAATCTTAACTCTGTAGTAATATCATTGTAATTTTATAACATTTCAGAAAAAAAGAAAAAAATACAAAATCTGTTTCGTAACATATAGCTTTACAAAAAAAAAATGTAATAAAAGCTTGCCACTGTCGTCTTGCAATTAGAATTAAAACGAATAATAATTACACTTTCCATAGAGTTTAAAATAGTCACACACAAAATATTGAAAAATTTTTTTTTTAAACTATTCCCAGAGTAAGATCACATAAATTTCTGAATTTAAGTAAAGCAGAAGCCTTTAATTTTTTTTATATTTAGTATGATAAATGACACTGTAATTACTATAGAGATGCACCGGATAGCCGAAAAATCGGGACGTCGAGTAGCTTGACTCGTGACTTTCTGGTCCGGGTTCGATGGCCCGGGCGCAGCGCGTCAATTTCCCATTTGTATCGTTATTGTTGGAAGCGAGTTCTGATTGGCTGCTTTTCCGCTTTTCTGTTAAGGTGTGAATGCACCCTTAGTGACGCCACCGCTGTATGCACGGAACTATTATTTAATATAGCCGCCATTTACGCAAATTAAAAAACTCGCCCTATTTATAAAATATATTCAATAGAAATGTACAAAAAATAATATGTGATCTTACTACTTCTTCATTAATTTCCAAAAATTTCATCGAACGATTACTGATATTATCCGACACTTTTTTGTTATCCAACCGGATATCATATCCGAGAATATATGCGATTAAAATTTTATATCATTAAATTGTTGACTTTTTATTATACAAATGTTCTATAAATAAGTATGTACATTCATAATGCTATAATATATTACGCATTGTCGCAAAATTACAATTTTTTTCTAAAGTTTTTTCTTTTTTTTTTTTAGAAGACTGTCCCGGAATCCGGTCGGATATATCTCTGGAAAATATCGGATATCCAATTCAAAAAATTACCCCCCTTCCCGGATATCCGATATTACATTTTTTCATCCAATATCCGGTAATTTTACATCCTAATAATTACAATAAGTAAAAAAATCACTTTACAATTTTTCTTACCGATATCGCATTTAAATAGACTAATCTAAATCTAATGATTGGTAATTCAGAAGTACATAAAAAAAAACAATTGCTCATGCAATTAAAGTTTGTGTTCTAAACATCAAACGTAAAGGTGATGTTCCGGCTTACATTGTTAAATTTATAGAAAATATATTTATTATGCACATGAATGCACATGAATGCACATTATTAAAGAATCCAAGACTACAAAAAAGATGACTTAGATCCAACTGAAGATATTGGGTCCGTATTCAGAATGCGCTTACAACGATGTTAGCGCGCTAACATGCTATAATTTACGTTATAGAATTTTAGAGATAAAAACGCGTTTTTATCGATAAAAGCGCGTTCTGAATACGAGCCTATCTTTTTAATACAGAAAGAGTTAGTCCGAGTTACCAAGGAAGATAAAATTGACAATTGAGATTGAAATGACTATATTTTTAAACATCAAGACATATCTTGAAAGACATTTAGCATTTTTATAAAGTTGGTTTCATTATTCATATTCATTTTAATTCTCAAATTTTGTGTAGAACAAAGTTCCCTCTAATCTTTTTGATGTAACGAGCTTTTTAAATAATCTCTATCGAGTTTAAGTTCTTTCAGATCTAGTGTTATGGGTAATATAACAATTCTCAAACCATGTAGAGAAAATGCTGTTTAAACACGATCGGTTCTAGTAAATATAAAATCTAAATGCGGATCAGAGATCTTGTGTAGATATAAAAATTCATATTTCCAAATGCAAGTTGAAGAGCGTTTTCTCTAACAACAGGAAGTTGATAAAATAAATGCAGGATAACAAGCGTACTTTTTAATTTTTTTTTGTTGACCATAAAATGTAAAGAAATACTGTCTAGACGAGAGAACGTACATTCAAGTAATAAAAGAGAAATCGATAATTGAAAAAAAAAAATTATCTTTATTTTTTGGATCGTAACAGTGATGTCAAAAATTACGTGAATTTGCGGAGAACGTTCTCAAATTTGTTGTCCCATTTTACCTACAGCAGTTACATAACATTGATATGATTTAAATACGAAACAGCGATTGACATATAACAATTATGTATTGAGATGAAATGCATATATAACATTTATGCAATGTAAAATTTGTCACTGTGACATCATAAATGAGTGAAATTGTTATTAAAATAAATTCGAGTAAATCATAACCAAATCGTTTGGAAGGAACGATGAGTAAGACCCCCTCTCTTCGAAAATGAGAAGAGTGAAATAAACGAAGAAGAATGAACTAAACTAGATGACTATCAATCCGAAACCCTTAGAATGGCCGTGCTGCCATTATCCACATACATACTCTACTGAAGCTTTCCTAATTATGACCTTAAAAATCAAAATAAATGTCGTTATCAAAAATCATTTTGTTGGCTAACATAGTAATTAATTCAACATCCATGACATTGAGAGACAAAATATTTAAAGTCAAAATGAGCAGCAATTAATTACTTTAAGATACTTTACTCTTGTACGCAAGACAGCACAGCCACACTCTTGGTCGAATTTTTCGACTTAAACAGTGAGCAAAAAATTCCGATTTGTGATATTCTTAAAGCAATTAATTCTACAAACATTTTCAGATCAAAATAAGCTCAGCAATTAATTACTTTAAGGTACTTTACTCTTGTACGCGAGCCAACACAACCATAAAGGAAATGAGAAAAATTCTCAATAAAATGATACTGATGAAAATGGTATCTATAACTGCTGAGGAGGTACTTAGACAGGCCAAGCAAATTATTGAATAGTATAAACAAGCAACGACTAACCAACAAGTGAAAGATAATAACAACTCTGAAGAGGCGATCGATACGCCGAATAATATTAATGTAATAAGAGGAAAACAATATACGAAAAAAGCCTTAAGTAGATAAAGACTCTGATAAATATTATTATCGCATATTCTATTCCTGATGTTAACCAACTAGTCACATAATTATCCTTATATATCTGTCATCAGCAAATAAGTCTTTCCAAGTTTAATGAACGACCAAAAAACTCTAGCAAATTCTTGTCTAATAACATATTCTAATCTTTGAATTCTTGTAAGATTTTTGGTTTCTGGCGGAGTCTATTATTAAATCGCATAAGTTTCTCCATACGGGAGTTAGGTGAAATGCAGGTATGTACCGTTAACGCTTTCATAAAAAAAATGTAAATCAGTGAAAATTGTTTCTCATGCTGTTAGTTAAACCTGTAAGAAGGTTCCATCAGTACAAATTTATCTAGACTTATTTCACGAAAAAGAGACGCAAATTTTGAATGAAAGGCAAAAGCATATAGAATGTACCATTCACTGTGAATCAACAATATACATTTTATATAAATTTGAGTGTCAACATTCATTGTGAACTGATCCACCAGATGCGAAAAGACAGTGCGTTCCTTAAGTGGTTCGTATTGATATACAGAACATCGCTTGATTACCGAATTTTCAACAGCAAATGTACTGGCACATTCTGCAATCACAACCATAAAAGCAATGTTTTATTTCGTGACTTTAAGTGAAAAAAACCTTAGCTCATTCAGAAAAAGTAATACTAGACGAAATTGAACGAATCATATGTGACAAGCACGTTTTTCATGCGTGTTACATACAATATACAAATCTTAAAAATCTACCCACTTCCTTATTTGTTGCACATGTACATACGTGTAGACGTGTAAAAAAATGATTACACATGATATTCAAAATGGGAATGCGTTACCATTTTTTTACATACAAAAATAAAGTAAAATCTTAAACAAAAGCAAAAATTAGAAGATATAAACATAGTTACATATAATGTAACTATAAAATATAAACTCTAAAAAAATTCCGATCTACGTCACTGACTAAAATATACATCTATATAAGCATTGAATAATCCTACATTCTAGAATCTTACGTTGTAGAAGTGTAGAAAGAGCTCTAACTACATAGAGTGTTATTCCTGTCCAAAATACAAAACCGATTGCTGACGGTGTATTTTCTTTGACGGAAGCGCCTACAAACAGTAGGAGGAAATTATACCGATCACTAACGTTGTATTTTCTTTCATGAGAGTATCTATAACTAGTAGAAGGAAACTGTACTGAGCACTGGCGTCGTATGTTCTTTGACGGAATCAAACTTTACATACAATATATATGACAGTATTCCGGATTGTACATAAAATAAAATGATGTAAAAAAGAAAAAATTATATAAACGCTCGTTTTCCACAAAATAATACCGATGTAAACTTTAAAAAAGTTCAAACGCAATCCGTTGTACGGAGTTGTAGATAAAATATAGTCTTAGGTACATAGTAGAAATCCTTGCAATATATGTATGTAGTAGGAATAAATTAGAAAGCCCTACAATGAAAAATATTTCAATGATTTCAAAACCTACGAGATGTCACTAAAAAATGTAAATTAATAAAATAAATTTTTAAATTATTAAATTATTAGTTCTCGTTGTCAAATCTAAAATTAACATATTACATAAATTAAGGGCATCGTATATAAAAATACGACAATAACGAACTCACTTAGTGAATTAATTTTTGTTTAATAATAGAACTCGGTACTTGCGTGTCTCTTTGTGTGCGACTCGTTGGTATTTAATTGAAGAATTAATTATATTAATAAAGAAAAAAGAAGAAAAGAAAAAAACCTTTGTAACTAAAATCTTTCTATCCATACATTGTGACAACTATTAACTGTTATCGTAAACCACTTAGATCGATTGCGAATAATTCCGCATAATAAATGTAATAACAGAATTTGTACAGGCTATCGTTACAAATATCGGTCGAATTTTGTATTCAGTTTAATGTTTAACGTTTCAAATTTATCTTAAATCACTTAGATCGATAGCGAACAATTCCGTATAATATGGAAATAATAAATTTTGTACTATCTATTATTACAGTTATTAGTAAAATTATGTTTTTCGTTTAATTTTTAACGTATTTATTGTACTGAAGAGGGTCAAATCTTGACCGAAATGTCTACCTATTGTTATGAATTGTTTTTAAATAATATATAATTTAAAAATTTAATATTCAAGTGGCTAATATTAAGAAGATTAAATAAATCAGGAGCATATAGCCAACCTTCGATGTCAATAAGTCATATATTATAATAAACAATTACAAAATGTAGACGTTTCGGTCACCATTTGACCATCCTCAGTACAAATATAATAAACATTAAAATTATTTAAATCTGAAATACTCTTAAAATAGTAATCTTAAATATAATACACAACAGAATCTCGCTTATTCTTACTTATTGTATGTAACAGTATCGCCTCTAACAGTATGCAGTTAATAAACAATAATTTCACATAATGTTTGCAGCATTAATATTATAATGTTCAAATTCCTCTTGTAATTATTCTATGGAATCCAGTATGACATGATTTTTATAGAATTAATATTATGAGGTTACAACTTCTTCTTTTTATTACGAAATCATGTATGACGCAAGAGCAAGTCGAGTTTATAATTGTTCTCGAACTCTCTCAAGTTACTATACCGTACTCGAAAAGTGCATCTGAAAAATTTAATGGAATATTAAAAAAATACAAATTCCAACCAGTGTATAAACCCATAAACAATCTTAACAAATTCATTACAATAGGTAAAGATAAGATAAAAAAAGATGAACACTCTGGGGTGGTGTATAAAATAGATTGTAAAGATTGCAATTATGCATACGTAGGCCAAACCAAAAGAAAACTAAGAACAAGATTAAAAGAACACATGAACGATGTTAGAAAACCTGTCGAGGCGCTTTCAGTGATTTCGAATCATCGGATAAATAATGATCACTGTATGGACTGGGAGAATACTAAAATCTTAGATTCAGAACGCTCCTTCTACAAAAGAAGTATTTCTGAAATGATTCATATAAAAATGCAAACGGAAGTTTTGAATAAGCAAAGGGATACCGACCGGTTTTCAGACATTTATCTCCCTCTTCTAAAACAATAATCCTAACCCCACTTATAAAATTTCTCCACCTCCCCCTCTCCTTCCTTTTTCCTTCTCTTCTCTGAAATTATAAATAGACTAAAGATTGAACTCTTGTCATTTCATTTGTGAATTCTCTATTATTAAGACCGCTCAAGTGTCCGGTATGTGTGGGAGGCTGTACTGTGAGATACGCGTAAGTCTACTAATTTATATTGATTCTTTTCCTTTTTCTTTTTCGGTCATTCGGTAAAAATTCATTCTTCGTAAACTAGGAATGAATTTTAATTATAAAAAGTACTTAATATGAAATTAAAATACAAGAAAAATAGATTACTGTTAAATTAATTTTCAAAGAAGCATATTAACTTTCACATAGAAATGACCACTTGCGTGTCTCTCGTTGGCGGCTTGTCATTGGGTTGGAACTTGAGAGAGTTCGAGAACAATTATAAACTCGACTTGCTCTTGCGTCATACATGATTTCGTAATAAAAAGAAGAAGTTGTAACCTCACAATATTAATTCTATAAAAATCATGTCATACTGGATTCCATAGAATAATTACAAGAGGAATTTGAACATTATAATATTAATGCTGCAAACATTATGTGAAATTATTGTTTATTAACTGCATACTGTTAGAGGCGATACTGTTACATACAATAAGTAAGAATAAGCGAGATTCTGTTGTGTATTATATTTAAGATTACTATTTTAAGAGTATTTCAGATTTAAATAATTTTAATGTTTATTATATTTGTACTGAGGATGGTCAAATGGTGACCGAAACGTCTACATTTTGTAATTGTTTATTATAATATATGACTTATTGACATCGAAGGTTGGCTATATGCTCCTGATTTATTTAATATATAATTTATTTACATCCTTAGTTGTGGCTGTATGCTCTTTATTATTTAACCTTTGTAATAAAATAAAGATAAAATTTCCAATAAATTTAAATGAATGATGCCGCGCTTGATGCTTACCGAGCGCTTGCCCGGCGCGAGTTCCGACTGCGAAAGGATCACGCGGCATAGCAGCAACCCGCGCGCAAGAATGGTTCACCATTCATAGAAGTAGGGCTCTGCGGGGGGTTTTCAGCATCTTCTCGCAAGAGTTAGAGTGAGCTCGTCAAAGGCCTCTACTGTAGGATTAGACGAAATCCGATGAAATAAGTTCCTCGGGCCTTTACGCTTACCCGCAAAGCGAGCTCACCCTCGGGCCTTTGCATTTACCCGCGAAGCGAGTTCGTTACTGGGCCTTCGCGAAGCAGAGCGAGACCCTTATCCGGGCCTCTGTAGGAATTACTTCCTGGCAACAAGAAGGCGTACACATTGTCACAGAAGCGTCGTCGGGACCACTCCAGTCCCGCTCGCACACCCGAGGAACTCACTTCATCGGATTACGTCTAATGGTTACGTCTAGACGATGATCCGAGGATCTGCCGATGGAGAAGACGGCAAGGCCGCTCGATCCGGGAATTACTCTCCCGACGATTTACAAATCTGCATATATCCATCCGGATAAGACTTGGCATAATTGACTAATTGAATGAGCTTACTGTAAAGTTCGATTCCAATTATGCTGTCTCGTCCGGATGGACAATCCCACCCACTCGTTCCCGTACAGTACAGATTTGTAGGCTTTGAAGATATAAAAATCCAGGCATGTGCGCAACAGGGAGCGGCAACTCCAGTGGGGAGGATCACACGGCGAACAGGGTGGGAAAGCGTGCCGCGCGGCGCGGTGGTTGATTACGTTATCACTTCGGCATTCGCTCGGCGATCTCGGAAGAAGACGGACGTGTTTTACAAGTCGCTCCGGATGTCGCATTAATTAATAAAAATTAGATACGCGAATTACGTAAGGTTGCCTAAAGCTAAGGCGTGTACTAAAGTTTAATAGGTTTTATTGCACGGTTTTTATTTCTTAGATTCATTCCACGCTAATAAAAACTTCTTTTTACTTCTTGTTTTTTGTTAGCAAAAATTTAGCATTGTAATTGATACGAAATATTTAAAATTATAAAATAAACGACAAATATGTTCCTTGATGTATCATCATAATTATATCACGATATAATTATGATACCACGTTAAATGACTCACTCCGCTAAAACTAGACATATAAGAAATTATTTCAAAATCGGAGAATACGCAATTCCTGCTTTCACAATTAATATAGTTTAATAATTTAATTAATTTTTTGTTTTTGTGCACCTTTCGTTATACGATCCGTTTAAAAATTAAACCTTATGTACCTTTGAAACTATTTATCAATAATAAAAGAAACGTTTCTCTTCTTTATTAATCTCTAGCCCATTTCATTGACTCTAATCATATCTTACGAATATTATCTATAAATAAAAGATTCAATCCTTTTATCTGCTCTAAATTTATTTTGCAATGATAACGAATTGCAAACATATGTTTGATATTCGTTTCTAAAAATTAACCGATTGCATAATAATTGCATAGTAATAGCTACATATATTATAATACATTTTTCAGATTATTTTCCCTCTCACGGGTACGACCTTGACGTGGTGGGAGGATTCAGTACCCAGAGGATATTTACACGAAAATAACGGTTTTTCTCAAGTATCTAAAAATTTTCGGATCTATCTGAATGATATTTCTAGATAAATTTTTAGATACTTGTGTAAAAATCCAACGGGGAAGCTAACGTACCCTCGTCGCCGATTGTCTTGAAAATAAACAAACCGCAGCCGGTTATCGGACTCAAGTTATAGTCTCCGCGCGATTAGTATATTATTCGCGAGTGTTTTACGAGAGTGTCCTATGCGAGAAGATGTCAACCCAATTCTGAGAAAAGAAGGAGATCTAGAAGAAGCAGACAACCGGCATCAGCAATCGGCGGAGCAACCTTGTGGTAAATATCATTTTTTGCTTATGTAACATCAGTATCTTTCTTCTGTTTATCCTTAAGTCGTTTTATTTTAATGATTTAAAAATAATAATTAGAAAAAAAGGATTATTTCAAAATTATTTTGAAATTTTATAAATATGTATTTTTAAGAAAAGGTATAATTATTTTTATAAATATCTAACTAAATGATAAATTAAAAATAAAAATTATATATTTTGATTATTATATGATTAAATTAAATTATTTTCAAGAGAACTTTACGTTTAGTAAATATTTTTTAAAATATTGATTTTTTTTCTGCTCTGTTTTGATTTGAATTTCATATTCTTCTTATTATAGAATCATCGTAGCGACGTTGCTACACCGCTAGATGTAACACCGCTGTTGCGGATGTGATGAATCGGATCGGTGATGAATTAATTTTTTTTATTGAGGAGGTATGATAATTTCATTAATATATTACACATATCTAGATGCATATATGTATCAATATAATAAAAATGTATGGGTAAATATATGTACAGCATTCTATACATCCGTTTCAAAAAGTTTCAAATAAAAGTTTTATGATTTTTAATGTACTTTTATAACAGTTCACTCTAATTTTTTAAAAATGTTATATTTTTGTTTTAAAAAAAAGTTTCAAAATCTCCGAAACGTTTTTTTGTTACATCTTTTATCGTTAAAAATTCGGTATTAGCTCAGAAATATAAAAATCAATTTTTTTTCGAAAGATTATTTCATCCCTTTAATGGCCGTAGGAGCACGTATAAAAAAATGTGTTCTCTTACTTTAACCTAGACTACAACATATTCAAAGCTTATTAAAATCCGAGTGCAACACGATAGGTTTACTTGTGAATATAATAATTCAACCTCAGAAATATAATAAAAATTAGTTGTTTCAATGGTCGTTTTTTAATATTTTGTATCAAAATAATACATCTTGTTGAAGATAAAACTAAAAAGGAATAAAATAATCAATTTTTAAATATATAAAATACAGGATATTAAAAAATATTTCAGAGTTTTGAGTTAGATCAATTTTAGAGTTTTGAATTAGATCAATTTCATTAATGTGAATCGATCAATAATTTCCTCCTTGGTAAAATCGGACAAACTTATAAAATATATTAAAGATATGTAAAATATATTAAAAATGAACAAAATATCTTCGAAAATATCTATTCGAAAATATCTATTCGAAAATATCTTGTTATTAACTCAATTATGCTGCTTACCGTACATCAATCTTCCGTTTTTCATTGAGAATAAACATTTTATCCCTAACAGCGAGAGATCAGTGTTTTTCTAGTTTGTTCTTCATTCATCGTATGCGATCTTCATCATCTGTGCGGACAATAAGGAATATGTGGAAACAGATGACAGTGGATGGATTTGAATCTGAAACAAAATGAAATATAGATATGCATTAACGAGGATA